CCCCTCCTGTCCCCCTCCTGTCCCCTCCTGTCCCCCTCCTGTCCCCTCCTGTCCCCTCCTCCCCGCCTCTGTCCCCGCCTGTCGCAGCCTCGCTCAAGTTCAAGGTTCAAACTCCACCGGGCCCTTCCTGGGGACACGCGGGGAATGGATGCGACACACGGAGGGGGACACGAGGGGACACGAGGGGACCGGAGGGGACACGAGGGGACACGAGGGGACTCTCGGGGACCCGGTGTCCCCTCAGCGTGTGGGGACAATCCCCCGTCACCGACTGCACCGGGGGACACCGGCTCAGGTACCGCCAGCGACGGGGACAGGAGGGGACAGGAGGGGACCGGAGGGGACCGACAGGGACAGGAGGGGACACTCGGGGACACTCGGGGACACTCGGGGACCGGAGGGGACACTCGGGGACAGGAGGGGACCGACAGGGACCGGCGGGGACACTCGGGTGACAGCACCGCGGGTGGAGGGACACCGTGGTGGCGGGCGGGTTGACGCGGGTGACAGCGCCGCGGGACAGGGTGACACCTGGAGGGGACGCGAGGCGGTGGCGGCCGTGTGTCACCCCGCGCTGTCCCCGTGTCCCCAGGGGTGTCCCCAGGGGTGTCACTGGCGAGCCCCCCGGGCACAGAGCGCTGGCCCCGGGACCCCCCTGGGGACACGGAGCCCGACGGGGACAAAGTGTGCGCCGTGTGTGGGGACAAGGCCAACGGGTACCACTTCCACGTCATGAGCTGCGAGGGCTGCAAGGGCTTCTTCAGGTGTGGGGACACCGCGGGGACACCGCGGGGACAGCCGGGGACAGCCGGGGACACTGCGGGGACAGCCGGGGACACCGCGGGGACACTGCGGGGATAGTCGGGGACACCGCGGGGACACAGCAGGGACACTGCGGGGACACTGCGGGGATAGCCGGGGACAGTCGGGGACACCGCGGGGACAGTCGGGGACACCGCGGGGACACTGCGGGGACAGCCGGGGATAGCCGGGGACACCGCGGGGACACCGCGGGGACAGGGTGGGATGGGATGGGATAAGGGGACAGGGTGGGATGCGACAAAGGGGACAAGGTGGGACAAGGTGGGACAAAGGGACAAAGAGGATGGGAAAGGACGGGATGGGACAGGATGGGACAAAGGGACGGAGCGAGGGGATTCGATGGGACGCGGTGGCACAGGACGGTCCCACGGAGCCGCTGCCACCCCGCGCGTGGGCCACGCGCTGTCCCCGTGTCCCCGCAGGCGCTCCATCCTCAAAGGGGTCCGCTTCACGTGTCCCCTGGCGCGGCGCTGCCCTGTCACCAAGGCCAAGCGGCGACAGTGCCAGGCCTGCCGCCTGCAGAAGTGCCTGGCCGTGGGCATGAGAAGGGACAGTGAGTGACAGCGGGGACACCCGCGGGGACACGGGGCAGCGGGGAGACGGAGGAGCTGGAGGGGACAAGGGGGACACGGCGGGGGAGGGGACAGGGGACACCTGGCGGTGATGGGGACAGGGGACACCTGGGACACGTGGCGGTGATGGGGGACAGGGGACAAGGGGGACACGGCGGGGGAGGGGACAGGGGACACCTGGCGGTGATGGGGACAGGGGACACCTGGGACACGTGGCGGTGATGGGGGACAGGGGACAAGGGGGACACGGCGGGGGAGGGGGGGGGGGGGACCTGGGG